AACAGTATTGATATTATTAATAATCAAATATGTAATGACAGATCAATACTTCACAAATTTAAAAATAAAACCAACTTACCAGAAACAATTAGAATTCAACCTGATGCACAAGTTATGTTTCTCACTAACTCATAACATCAACACCGAATAGTAAATGGTATTATAGGTATCATCACCAATCTTGATCTCAAACTAAATTTTGTCCATATAAGCTTCTGTATAGAAGGAGCTATTATAAACATCTCCTTTTCCAAATTTACTAGTCATTTCAATATAAATAGTACACCTGCTAACCAAACCCAGTTTCTGATACAAAATGCATTTGCATTAACAGTTTACAAAATACAAGGGCTTATCCTCCTCAATGTATCATTAAATCTAGATGATCAAATATTCACATCCGGCCAAGCATATGTAGCACTAAGTCGCTGTACTAATTGGAATAATGTAAAAATACAATCATTGAGCAACACTGCCTTCCTCACAAATCAATCCATGATCGAAGAATACGAACGATTAAAACTAAAATCCTGTGAATCATTACCACTAAACAGACCAACATAACAAATCAACTAAACCCACCGTATCCAAAATACCATAAAACTACAAAATTCATTTGAAAATACAAACTCAAAAAAATATAACTACTGTTCTCGATACTTTCTACTCATTTTTATAAAATTTTCCTTTCATACCCCAAATTAATCTGTCGATCATCACTTAAATCATCTGTAATTCACGTGAATAATATAACCTCCGCAAAGTAAACCGGGCGGCGAAGCCGCCCGCATTTGAAACCTCTAGTTTAAGTTACAGCTATTATCATTATTTCTGGGACACCTGAAGAATTTTCAGATGACCGAAATATCCTCTGTTTCATTTGGTAAATTACCTAACTTCTCGGAAACTATACCGCTGTCTCCGGACCTTCAGTCCGAAGACAGCGCTGTAATTTCCGGAGAGCTAGAAAATTTACCGAATGAAACAGAGGATATTTCGGTCATCTGAAAATTCTTCAGGTGTCCCAGAAATAATGATAATAGCTGTAATAATTTAGCAGCAATTTCATTGGTGTTTTTATTTCAGCAAAGCAGATTCGTGGCTTCAACGGTATGATTTTTATAGTAGGTGAAGAATAAACAAGATGTGACAACATGATCATGCCGACCATACACCATTTATTTCTCCACTAAGCCATACACTTCGTGATTTCATCACACCATTCCTGGTACCGGTAAATGCAAAAACAAACACGTTTCACCAAACATCGTTCGAATGGTTCACTTTTTATAAAGTAAAACTTTAGATTATCAATTAAACAAAAAAATATATCTACAAAAAACCATGATATACTATCAAAAAATACATCTGCAAAATTTTCAGTGCTCTTGACCGGTTTGGTCTGCTCCGCTCTGTTATAGTACAGAAGAAAGACCAAGACCATAGACTATACAACGCTTTCAATTTTTCAATTTTGTGATGCTGTAAATATCCTTTTTTAGCCATTTTTTTTCACCAAAAATTCTGTTACGTATTAACTAATACAATCGGTAAAAGTAATCGCTGTATAAGTGCGTTAATAAAATGGGCCAGGTGCTGGAAAAAGGGACGAAATTGACAATTTTTTCAAAAGACATTTTTTATATAAAATAAGATTAGGATCATTTTCATTTAAAAGACAAAAGTAGTTGTATTAATAAAATTTTGCAGTATAGCATTTTCTTATGATTTATTGATCTTTTTTGTCCCTTCTACCCAAATAATCACGATTAGATCATGGAAGTATTCTTGTGTCATGTCATGACATGTTTATGGGCTCTCGTGCCGAACAATAAGTATACCGAAGTTTTATTCGCAACTCATAATCTTGCAATGTTATTTGTCAATATAACTAGTGAACTAGTGATATACTTTTATTTTAAAATCGTGTAGTAACAAGTTTTATAAGCTCGCAATTTTAAACCATTTAAAAATCGATTTTTTAAATAAGTACGTACATACGTGGGTATAAAATTATTTTCTAAACTTTTAATTCGATTTTATATATATTTATTACATATATTAAGAACACAAATGAGAACATTCGTTTCCATGTTAGTGCATATTAGTATGTATGTAACACCCTTCACAAATTATCTAAGGTTGAATACTTCACCATAGCATAACACGCATTGACACGTTGTACATAATTAAAAGCTTAAAAATATCAAACATTAAAAAAATTGCGAAAACAACGAACCTTCCACTATAGCGATAGGCGTATAACCGTACAACAAATAGCGTCACAAACACAATGATAAAGACAATACGTAGTTGAAACAGATAGAATATAGAATAATAATATATATATATATGCTAAAAGTCAGACTAAGGGTATACCCAGTGTGAAGAATAGACAATAAACGAGTCCAGATTTTGCCTTTACAGGTGTCAGACCTTAAAACAAAGCCAATATGAACGTTAATAACCGTAATGATATCAAACCGATATCCAACCGATATCAGCATCCTTGACGATCACAACTAACTTTTTGTTCGAACTCGATAATGATAGTAGAAATTAATAAATTGCATAGTCAATTGATTACTCGAAAAGTAATGCAATAATATTGTAAATTAATAAGTAATGTTTGCTTTTGCAACCCATTGTACATATTACTATTTATCGATTAATTGAAGAATATGAAAATAATATATTATCTGTTCGAGTGTATAGGTCATTCGTGAGTACATACGTAAAAATACTGAAAGAGGCGCAATTAGGAAAATAAATACTTAGAGACTCCTATTTATCAAATAATTGGGGGTTAAGAATTCTGATAACCCGTAAAAGGAAATTGGTGATGAACGTCATTTAAGATTATTCATGATAACTTATGAAAAACTTGTTATTTACTTGATATTATTCAATCTTTCCCAGGTAGCGTAATGAACACAAAGCCATACTTTAATTACCCTGTTTACAACTTGAAATTTCCATAGAGATAAGAAAAACTTTAATTACAGAACAATGAAAGAAACCAGAAATCAATAGGAGTCTCCTGTCTCGAAATTTAAAAGAATACCACTCCTGTCGGCAAATATTATCATTACCTGTAAGTTTTCTTATCTTTCCCACGTGAAATATTCAACTCGCACATACGTACGTACGTACATACGTACGTGCAATGCTAAGCCATAAAGATAATCTCAACGCTAAGCTTATGCTGCATATATGTACGTAAGCACGAATGTAGCATATATTACCAATTCTTTAAATGTATCATCGTTCTGACTATTTAAACTTTTCTTTTGGGTTAGCTATGATCACGTTCGCATTCGATTGCATAGTGTTACAAGCTACTTTTATTCGGAATATTATAGAAGCTTTCCGAAGTGAATAACGCAGGGGTTTAACCATTTATCGCCGATTAATACACTTGCATCATAAGATTATGGGGATGAGCAACTACTTTTTTCGATTTAATTTCATCATCATAAATTTCAGTAAATCTAATTAATACATTTAATATATATATATAAGAGATAGGCAACGATTTTATAATAAAATTCCTTTGTGTGTAGATAAACACTAAATAAACTCACTAATTTTATTTCGATTTTCTGGATTTTTGTCCTACACTACTCATAAATTAGTTAATATATACGTATAATTCTTTTGAGGTCGATTATTCACCATATATATATGTGTATATATATATATGTGCGTGGGTTAAACACAACGGCTACATTTTTTTTTTTTTTTTTTTTTGTGTATATATCAGAATTTTGAATTTTTATTGATTATTAAAGCTCTCCCAAAAACCCTGTTCAAACGCCTGTTTAGGTGCCTGTTCCTTTCCCGTACGCTGTTGACGGAATATTTTTCTTTCTCTGCTTTTGGATTCGTGTTTTCCTTATTAACGATAACGATAACGATTCTTGTCGTTCCTTTCACGCTCATAAAAAAACTAACTTTCCCGACAGGTATCTCTTCTAAAGGTCCCTTGCAAAAAAAAAAAAAAAAAAGTCAACCGTTCACTAATTTTAGACTAGCAGTACTTTGAATTCTTCACTATGCCCTCTCGGTCAATATATTTTTATGCTAGTGCTTTCGCTGTGTCAGTATTACTCAATGCGCATTCGACTTTAGGTTATGATAATAACTACACAGGTGGGCTATTCATTATCGTTGGTATTATGAATTTGGTATTATTTATTTTTAGTTTCTCGTATCTAATAAACTCCTGACTGTTTCGAATGATAGATTCTTTGATAAATTGTTCTAATTTTACTTCGTGTGGTGAATGTACAACTCATTTGGAATGTGGTTTCTGTGTCACTGTAAGTATTTTTCTCGTTTGTCTCTTCACTTTTTATTTTTCGTTCGCAAATTATCGTTATTGCTTTTGTGCCAATTCCTATTATTCATTCTTATCATTGATGTTTATTGTTATATTATCATTATATTAATTATTATTAAATCAATTCTAATCTTAAATCTTATACATCTTTTATTATCGTTATTGTTAGTCCAAAACGTGTGTACAAGCAGGCTGGAAAGGTCCTTTCGAAGATCCAAATTTTTGTCCAACTTGGGATTATGAATACGCCCAATGTTTCGGTAAGTTACACAAGTGATTATACCTACGCCATAACATTCACAATCTGCCTTTGAAATATAGATCTTCAAATCTAACCCGTTTTTAATCAATGTACATAATAGTTACTCATCAACAAGCTCTTATATCTTTGATCTCTGCTCTTGTTGGCATTGTATTTATCTTATTCTTGATGTGTTTTTGTTGTTGCCTTTGTCGATGTTGTAGATACAGAAGCAACGATGAAGAAAGAGTTCCCCTTCTTGGTGATACTATTGCAACGCATCACTTTAGACGTGCTTCATATTATAATTATAATAGAAATCGTCCCTTTGAAAGAAGAGGAAGAACTCTAAGTACTGGTACTGCTAATAGCACTGTACAATATGGGAGAAATTGGCGTAATGGTACTGATGATTATATGTACGGTTACGGGGGACCGACAACTCCTTCAATGCTTTGGGTAAATGATAGTCCTGTTCCAACTGACTATACAATGGGTTCCCATAATAGTAGTCTTGGTAACACCGGAGAATGGCGTCGTTGGGAGAAAAAACGTGAAGAGTTATTAGCTAAATATGCGAAAAGCAATAATGAAGGATGAATGAAAGATGTTGATTTTCTTGTGTAGAAGGGGTGCGTGAGTAAAATTTGTTTTAATCACCGCCTTCATGTACTTTTTTTTTTTTTTTTTTTTTAATCACTGTATTTTTCTTGTAAAAATTTTTATTTGGCTTTTAAAAAAAATTATATTTATTTGTTTCATTTCATGGCTCACTAATATATATATATACTTTCAAAGAACTCAACATCTTTCAAAAACAAAGAACTCTGTATATTACACTTTCATTGATATCCTTTATTATATTCTTTTACATAAATATTTTTCCTTAATATTCACCATAACTGCTAAGTTCAAATTCATTTAATGCTTATATATGTATATATACTTTGAACGCACTTGAAATCAATTTGGATCTCATGTGAATTCAATTCATAAGCAATCGTGTATATACATATTACATTACATGGTGCGAGAATTCAAGAGGACAATGAATATATTTATTTAATTTTTTTTTGAACTGAATTTTCTTATAATTATTCGAGAAAAGATTGATTCTTTAGATCTCTATTTTGTACTAATAATATAAAAAAATTTTTTTGAATAAAAAACTATC